GGTGAGTCCCGAGTTTTTAGGCTGAGCAGCTAAAAGGAAGGAATTGCCATTTAATGTTGTGAGAAACTCTCCAGATTTGTGTACAGAGGTAAAGAGGTGGAAATCAAGAGTTTTGTTTGGCCATGTAAAGTTTGAAATGCCTCTAAGCTATTCAAGTTGAAGTACAGAGTAGGCAGTTGTATAAATGAGTATTGAGATGACGGGAAAGATCTGGTTGTAGATAGAATATTGGACTTCACGGTAGTGTTTTGACAGCAGTTACAGCCTGAGAATAGTTGGTGTCACAGAAAGAGGCACTCCATAGAATTTGGGTCGATTTGGAGTTATCTGCAAAGGGCACTGTGCAGGAGCAGCCAGTGAACGGAGAGGAACACCCACAGAGCGTGGTGTCCTAAAAGCCAAGTGAAAGTGGTTAAGGAGGAGGGAGTGCTAAGTATGTGAAGTGCTGTCCTGGATCAAATGAGATAAGGATTGATTTAGTGACCACTACATTTAGTAATGTGGAGGTCATTGAAGATCTTGAGAGCAGTTTTGGTGGAGTAAAGAGTATAAAAGTCAGATGGACATATTTAAGAGAGAATGGGAGAACTGGAGACAGTCTGGATACAGCACCTCTGGTACTGTTTTGTTTGTCCAGACTGTTTTAGCCTGTCTTTGACTCCCCTTCCTGTAGATGTTAGGTCAAATCCACTTTTCTCTGAGTTTCCCTTATCTTGTTGAATGTCCCTATCATAAATAACTTTTATTTTACCATATATCTTTACTTGCTAATAAGTTACAAATACAGTTTTCTAATGGTGTGTGAAAGTTTGTCTGCTTCTAAAGTTTAAGCACAGAAGAGCAGTGATTGTACTGATTTTTGCTCATCATCTCCAGCTCCAAGTACAGTTCTTGGCATCTAATATGAACTTAGTACATATTTGATGGATAAATGGAGGACTAATGTCACAAAATTTTCAAAGGCATTGCATATTTACCTGTTGTTTACAAAAACACAAGATAATTGATAGAAGTGACTTCATAACGAAAACATTTTTGAAAATTTGTCTTAAAAGAGCAGAATTTCTGTTGCAAGTGAATTACAGTGCTCACCCTTGTGAAATTGAATTTGCTAACATTTTTACTATATTCCTGCATACCTCATGTCGTTGCAAGATAGTAACGTATATATATGTAGAGTATAGTATATGTAGAGAAGTTGTTGCTTTAAATGAATAGTGCTTTAGTCCAGGAAAAAGCTGACTGGCTGGTCTCCCAAGAGGCCTTTATTATGAAATTCGTTGATGAATTTACTATAAAAAAATCACTCCTAAGTCTTGTGGTCTTAGAAACACAGTCTTGCTAAGTGTACCAGAGTTCCTGGGTTGATTGCTATCCAGATGGCGAAGAGTAACTCCTTCCATTAATTAGAGTAGGGAATACACTATGAATTCCAGTCTTGGGATGGGAAGATACTGTGTCCAGGTTTGGACATGTTGTTAATCATCTTGTTTGAAGGACTTAAGAGTCATGCAGGTGAACAGTACCTAGTACTGCTTCTGGACAACCTTTCTGCACGAAACCTTAACTGTTGTTGAGAGATGTAGCTATATATTCAAATAGTGAGAAGAACATGGACCTCAGAGTCTCAGAATCTTGGCTTTGAACCCAAAGTCTGCTTTTTATTAGTGTGAATTTGGCCAATTTTTTTCAACTTCCCTAACTTTGGATGTGGGAGATGAGGTAGCCTTGGTGTTCTTATGACTGTTGTGAAGATTTAATGTGATAACATATATAAAGCTTTTAGGTTAGCATCTGGCATATATTGGTACTCAAGAAACCGTATCTTCTAAAATAGTCATTGATATGTAAAGTAATATTTGTCCTTCAGTTTGATCGAAATTAATGAAATGTTTATAAAGTATTTTGTAGTTGAACTGAAGGGTGCTATTTTGTATAATCGTATTGCTAACATTCTGTAAGAATGAGATCCTTGAATTATATTTCATTTTTCTCAAATTTGCAATTTATTTTTAATAATATTTTGTGTTTTAAGCTACTTAATTGGGAAAAGTTACAATAAGTAAAAATATGGCAATTATTTTTCTCATAAAACAGCAGCATAAATAGATTACATTTTTGAGCAAGAAATTCATGTCCAGCTTTATTATAAAAATTACTAAAAACACCATATTTCATCAATAACATGTCTATATGATATAAAATGTTTAAAGAATGTATACCTCAAAAATGAACTATT